GGGGATAGGAGGAGCACTCCCTAGACACGGAATGGGTGGGTGCAGTGGAGCAGCCGTGGGGAAAGATTATGACGCGTTCGCACATGTGCGACCTTTTCCGTCTCTACGGGCGAACGAAAACAGCACTGAGAACTACTGAATCTTTGGCTACCCGGAGCGCCGAGCTCTTTGACGATCATCCGCCGCGACGTCGAGAATTCCCGCGCCTTCCAGCGCACTCTCGATCGTCATGTGTGTTTACGCACGTGTGAGACACGTGAATGCACCCGACTGTACTACTATACGGCTGTATCACTATAGTGTACGCATCGGCGTCCTGCGTGGTTTAGACGCAAGTAATACGTATGGCGTTCTCTACTGTCTTTCGAGGATTCGTGTGGCGCCCTTTAGTACCGACCGCGCTTTATCTTTTTTTTCTTTTTTTTTTTGGGGGACTTTTTCATTCAACAGAGGGTGCCGCTTCTCATCCTCTTTGACCGACACTTCAGTCCTTCCTTTCGCCGGCTATTCCCTGCTCTCTGGCAGTTTGCCATTAAAACTCTGGAATCTGATTATGGTCGAGCTTCCGTTAAGACGGCATTTTTACGTTTTTCCTCCCTTCTCTACCGAGTAATTACTTTATACCGGAAGTCACGCTGAGGAGTTACTCCGAGTTTGATTTTTTCCGGTTTTGCTTTCTTTTTCGCAAGGACCTCTTTTGACCTTCGATCTCATACGATTGGCTTCGCACTCAGGTCGTCTACTCGATTTGTTAGTCTTCAGTTGTACTCGTGCGTAATTTGAAGTTTGAAGGAATTTTTGTTTTTGTAAATTTCCTTTGTCAGGATGTTTGTTTTATTTGTAATAATAATGTAATAGGAATATCGAGGATAATAATAATTTTTGTTGGCAGCTCCGGGGCCAAGGTATTGGTGAGCAACATTTCAGCCCACACGAGTTTGGACGAGCTGGAAATCCTCTTCATCACCTACGGGCAGGTGCAGAACATCGAGAAGGTGCCGTCGCGCGATCCCAACACGCAAAGCGTCCTCGTCAGCTATGAAACGCAAGAGCAAGCACAGCAGTGAGTACAGAGTGAAAAAAAAAAGGAATAAAAAGATAAAATAAAACTGAATCGATCCGACGATCCCCGGACACTGCGATGATCATTGACATAATTTTTCCCTAAATTCTTGAAGGGCTGTGAACCACTTGAATGGCTTCGAGTTCATGGGCAATCCGCTGAAAGTGGAAATGTCGAGCACGGAAAGTCGACGAAGAGGGCGCAGCCAACGGGGTGGCGTTGCCTTTTCCGGACTTCCTGGTTCCGGTCGGCAGACCGACTTCCCCCTGCGCATTCTCGTTCAATCGGATATGGTCGGCGCCATTATCGGTCGTCAAGGCTCCACCATTCGTCAGATCACGCAGATGACCAGGGCCAGGGTCGACGTCCACAGGAAGGACAACGTTGGCTCCTTGGAAAAGGCCATCACCATCTACGGGAACCCGGAGAACTGTACTAACGCGTGTAAGAAGATTCTGGAGGTGATGCAGCAGGAGGCCAACAACACGAACAAAGGGTAGGTCGAGCGAGGACCAATCGGAGGTTCCTTATCTTTGATAAGTTAATTAAATTTTGACCTTTCTTCTCCTTTCTGATTTAGCGAAATCACCCTGAAGATACTCGCCCACAACAATCTGATTGGCCGCATAATTGGCAAGGGTGGTAACACGATCAAGAGAATCATGCAGGACACTGACACTAAGATCACCGTCAGCAGCATCAATGATATCAATAGCTTTAACCTGGAGCGCATCATCACGGTGAAGGGTACCATCGATAATATGAGCAAGGCCGAGTCAATGATCTCCAGCAAGCTACGTCAGAGCTATGAGAATGATCTTCAGGCAATGGCGGTAAGTCTCAAGACGCGTACCCGGCGTGTCTCATCTTGGCAGATGTTTATTTCACTTGCTGTACTTGGTGCCGACCATCGAGAACAAACGATGGGACCCAATGAGCCTGGCTCCAATGTTCTTTCCACAGTCCGGTCCCAGGTGGAGGTCAAACAAGCACGAGGCGAGGTCACTCGGTGAGGTCGTGCTCTCGGATCTTCGCGTTAATGTCGGTTCGTCCTCCTGATCGTCCTGACTTTACCGACTTGTCCAAGATCACGAGGTGATCCGACCTACCCTCTGATGCAGAATCCAGTGCCTAGTTCTATTTCCCCTTTTGTTCCTCCCTTCGTTACTTCGGGATCCAGATCCTATTCCTACGTCTTCCGCTCGAAGTGGGCATCGACATTCAACGAATGCGCAATCAGACTTCTTTAGCTCCCATGTAACTCATATGTATTGTGTTGCTCGCGCATGTCTAACTCGTATTGTATTGACTTTGGTAAAACAATAAAATTCAATGTTTTGAGAAGATCAGACGGTGTTTCTTCTGTTTTTATGTAGTCACGTAGAGAAATAATAATGATATAAGAAATCAGCCTCTACCAGTTTCTACAGAGGAATGAGAAATAGGATAACACGCATGAGAGCGGTACATATGAGTGACATACGAGCGACAAAAGTTAACCTGATCCACCTCCTGCCGTCTGCGTGCCTGTGCTAATTGGATATGAAAAAATTGATGGAAAGATCATCCATGAGTATTTGAAAATTGATTGAGAATATTCAAACAGACTTTTTTTTTATCTACGAGTTTCGCAATTCATTCCTGTTGCAGCCCCAGAGTATGATGTTCCCTGGGCTTCATCCTATGGCGATGATGTCCACTGCTGGTATGGGCTACAGTTCTCGAGGGCCAGGCCTGTACGGCTCTGGGCCGGCACCCTATCCTTATCAGAGTACCTTGCCAACCCAGCAAGGAGTGCCAGCCGGTGATACCCAGGAGACGACCTTCTTGTACATTCCGAACAACAGCGTGGGCGCCATCATCGGTACCAAGGGCTCTCACATCAGGAACATCATCAGATTCTCTGGCGCCAGCGTCAAGATCGCTCCTCTAGATCAGGACAAGCCGGCTGATCAGCAGACCGAAAGGAAGGTCACCATCATCGGATCACCGGAGTCACAGTGGAAGGTCAGTCTTCTCTTGTCAATTGATTTCTTCATTGGTCATTGCTATGCGGCAATTTACTCTGGTATTTCCGTTCATACTTTTTTTTTGTGGTAACACTGATGGCCACACGGCTCAGTCAACCGTACGGAGCTGTTGAGGTAGCTAGTTCGAAACCTGTCAGATGTGTTGGAAATAAATTCACTATTGATATTCACCTATAACGTTGGTGGCGCTAGTGCGGTGTAGCGACGAATCTAATTACAGAATTTAACCTGTGATTTTTGAGAGGATGGCCGTAGGAAGGCTTCGTCTTGATGCTCACAGGAACAGCATTCGCGAAGGGTTCCTTGTCGATCGTTTCTCCATTACTTTGGCGAAAATCAACTCAGTAAACCCTGCCACATTTTTATTTAAAAAATTAAATGACCAACGGCTGTCTTGATGAAAATCTTCAATTAACTCTTCTCGTTCGTATACAGGCCCAGTACCTGATCTTTGAGAAAATGCGAGAGGAGGGCTTCGTCGCTGGTACAGAGGATGTCAGGTTGACCATCGAGATCCTGGTTCCCAGTGCCCAGGTTGGTCGAATCATCGGGAAGGGTGGCCAGAATGTAAGAGAGCTTCAACGTGTCACCGGAAGTGTTATAAAACTCTCAGAACAACAAGCCAGCCCACCGCAGGCTGACGAGGAAACCACCGTCCACATAATCGGACCGTTCTTCTCCGTTCAGGTGAGTCCCGCAAATAGAAATTTCCAGGAGTCGTAGCGTTCGAGAATCCAATTCCTCTTAAATACCTAATAACGATCATTGATCGACAGTCGGCGCAACGAAGAATCCGTGCGATGGTCCTGCAGTCCGGTGCACCAGGAAGTGGCACGGGTGGTCCAACCGGTACACGGGCAGGACGTGGGAGCAGCCAGGAAGGCGGTGCACGTTCACGACGAGACGGCAGCGCCACTTCTCAGCAAGGTGGCACCACCTCCCAGCAACACTCGTCCTCTCAGCAACAGTCCGGCTCGCCATCCAGCCAGCAGCAACAACCCCAACAGCAACAGCAGCCCCAGCAGGGCCAACAGCCGCAGCAACAGCCACAGAATCAGTAACGTTGATGAAACTCACCTGACGCCAAGCAACGCCTCACAGAATCCATTTTATTCGGCTGGGGTGGTCACGCCGCTTTGAAATCCTACGTTCCAGTTCCTCGAGGAGGATTAGGATGAGGAGGCTGCTTCCTCCGTGATACCTGGAAACTCTAGACGCACGATTACCCTGCTCCGCTTTAACGATTGTCGTCCTCATGGATATTCCGTCCGATCACGTATAGCTGAAAGGCTGACAAGTTCTCATAACCGACCTCATTGCTCCACCCTCGTGGTAGGGAATTTAATGTTCGTACTGTGCTCGAGGTACGTACGGATCGCAGGAGATCAGGCGTCGTAGTTAAAAACGAAGGAGGGAGGTCGAGAAAGTTTTGTAAGGTCGGACGGAAATGCGTGTAGACGAGACGCTGGAAAATTAACTTGGAGTTTGCGACGGCAGATGGCCCTCGAGTTTGGGAAAAGGGTGGAAACATGGAAGACGATGGAAGATTTTTCTTTCATTTCCATTTTTAGAAGAAACAAAAGGGGTTGTGGTATTCGAACGTTCGGGTTTTGAGGTATCGTTAAATATATATTGATTCCTCGAGGTTAATCTCATTAAGGTCGGCGGCACATGGCTCACGGGAGGATTGTGAATTAATCTAGCGGTATTCTGAGAGAGAGAGAGAGTGTGTGTGAGAGAGAAAGAGAGAGAGAGAGAGAGAGTGTGTGAAAATAAGAAAGAATGAGAGAATGATAAAGATTTCGAAGCGGTTATGAAATTCACCCCGCCGATAGAATTGGGAACGATGAAACACACACACAACCTTATTACCTCATTCATTACGATTAAAGATTTAATATGATAATATGAAAAAGAAGTGAAATGAAAAATGATAAACCAACTAATCTAAAAAAAACCTACCTAATATTAAAGTTATAATAATATACAGAGAAGTTAAGTAACGATTACATTACCTTATACCTGTTACTATATTACGATAACTACCACTACTTCTATTACTTCTACTATCCACTTGCCGCTACTACTACCGCTACCAACACTACCACTACTACAATAACTATTATTATTATTACTACTACTTACTATCGACTACCGCTATTATTACACCGCTATTACTATGGAGGATTGGGGAGAATGCTCTTTCTCCCCTTTCCTCTCACTCTCTCTGTTTATTATTTTTTTTTTTTCCCTCTAAATAAGATAACTTTTTAAGCGAATTCATCCGAGACATCCTTGAGACTAATGTTGAGTATGTGAAAAAAAAAAATAATTGTGAGGTTCTACCGTAAGAGACATAGATGAACTGGTGATATACGATGAGAAAACCTCCGGCGGCAGCGCTGCCCCCTCGCACCGTAATACCAAAGAAGCGATTTTGATTTTGTACGAGTGAAGTGAAAATGCGTGTTAAAGATAATGAAAACAGGACGCGCTGCGTGATTCGTTTCAAAGTTCCTTTGCAAGAGCCGGTGGGGGCGCGCTCTATGCGACAGAAACACCAAAAACCATTGAGAGTCACCGGAGACGAGCGAAATGCGACTGTCGCTGGGGCTGCTACGGCCACTGGGACAGTGAGGACCGGAAACGGGGACAGAAGGAAAAGAAGCGGAAGGGACGGATAAATTGAGGAACGAAAGGAGCGAAGTAGCAGCCAAGCTGAGGTTGGATAAGATGCTGGACGATTAAGATCGGGATGCAGGGAGAGCAAGAATGTTAAGGGTGGAGGATGCAAAGGAGGTATTCTGACTTTGCCGTGGAACGCTGATAAGGGGGTATTGAAGATTGCAGGGAGTTTAATGGAAAATTGAGGTGAAAGGAGGCGAAGGAAGATTCAAGCGGCGTAGGGTGTTACGCATGAAAGTTATTATGGAAGTAGCCATGATAGGTGGGAGTGAATAGGGGAGGTAGAGGCATCGATGATTTGTATGAGGGATGAAGGGAGAAGAACAAGAAGAAGGAGGAGAAGGTGACGAAGAGAAGAAGATAGAAGAGGAGGGAAGATGAATGGAACCACAAAACGTTTTCAGGGATTTTATTTTACCATGGATGTAATAGTGTGTGAGTGTGCGTGTGTTGAATAATACTATTAATTGATAAGTAATGAATTACCGATTAAGATGGTAAAGATGCAAGACAGGTATTTAGATTTATCATGATGGAGGATCGCAGTAGACTAGGATTTCGAAATCTTCCGTGAATCGCGTGTCTGTATATATAATGTATATACACATATATTTATAACATATGTATATACGCGCGACGTATATATATATATTTATAATATATGAATGCACGCAGAACACGTAATGCGTCTATGCGTCTCGTATTAGGGTGCTCGACGTAAGGGATGTAGAGTGAGAAAGACGCGTGCGCGCGTATACGCATTGAATACGGAATTAAAAAAAAAGAAGAGAACGAAGAAATGAAATTCCGTGACAAAATTCACGATTCGCCAGATCTGAGGAAGGTGCGGGGCTTATGCTAGATATATATCTATATATATATATGTACCGACTGTGAATTCTGTAATTTTATAATTATAGGATTATAGAATGTAATTGCACTCTGGATAACGCGCCCGCGCTTTTTCGAAAGGTCTTCGCGTAGAAAATTTGTCCAACGACAGTGGCGACTTTGCGAGGCGTCGGTCAGCCGGACTATGGTTGGGTCGGTCGGGTTTTGTAAGATTGATTGAATAACTGTACTTCCGGTATCGCGGTACGTGCTGCTCGATTGCTGAAGACACTTCCGCTTCCATTTCAACCGTATCGAGAATTCTTGGATTCTTCCACGACTCTGTCGAACTTCCCGATCGACCGCACTAGGCAGTTCGCGAGTAGTGGCGCTGCTGTCGCTTCTCTCGTCTTTACATCCAACAAGAAAGCGAATTGGCGCCCTCGTCGTATTACTGGCCGACGCTCGCGAAAGAAAAAAAAAGAAATAATTTGCTTGGAGCATCGGGCAAAGACCGTTGAGATTATTTCTCGCTCGTTATTCATTTCTCTGGTATCTCTTGAGACGCCCGGAGAGCGAGGGGAAATATTTGGAGATAATCATGGGAAGCTCCGTTTCTCGACGCGGTCGTAAAACATGACCAAATATCGGATTGACGAATAATTAATTGTCCCTTAATTGCGCGAGCGATTCCTGTTTCCGTGATCGAACTGATCGATTGAAATATCAGATTTTGATTGGTTTGGAATTCTAGGAATGTCGCATGATCGATCGGAATTCGCGCGCTGCTCGAAGCAGGGGATATTTTAAACTTACCTCGCGAGTCAATTGACTTGCTGTGCTGCCGTAGGTCACTTCCGGTTTCCGGGATAACAAAATGGCCGCGGTCAGCCTATTATTTCTCGGCATTCAGTATGCGTTTAGTACAAAGATACATGAGTTTAAGAAGTGAAGTTTAAGAATTTGGACTGCGCGGATTGGCTCGGGCCATTTTAAAGTGGGGTAGGAAGGGAGTATTCGCGCACGGTCGAAGGTCTGAGGGATGGCAAAGCGAGTAGAAGGAAAATTTGGCGGCTACGCGAAAGTTCGGCGAGATACCAAAATGGGAAGATGGGGAAGGAAAATTTCGAGGATGAATTTCAAGATAATCTTGAAAATATCAGAACGGAAAGGGGCACGATATCTCGCTGATACTTTTCTTTTGTAGGGCTGACTTTTCTGGTATTTTTTTGCTTTTTTTTTCCTCGAGCTAAGCTCACGAGCACGCGAGTGAGAAAGATTGTCCTATGAAAATCGCGTATTCGAATACGAAGACGGTTTTTTTCTCTTTCGAGGAAAATTACGAGTGACGAAGATAATGACAATGATCACGATTATGACGATGGGGTGGGTGGGGATTTAAAAAAAAAAAAAAAGCACGGTGAAGAAGGAAGTAAATTTTATCGAAAAGAGAGATATGAGAATTAATGAAAAAAAAAAGAAAAAAAAATGAAGAGTATAAGTTTATTTTTGATACATTGTTGGGGAGATCTAAGTAAATCTTTCTTTTTCCTTTTTGTTAGATGTTTTAATAACTTAATGAATTTTAAAGATATTAAAGAGGGAAGGGTAACAAAAAAAAAGGAGTAAGAAGGCGCGAAGGACGAGAAGCGGGAGAGGTAGTGGATGCGGAGGAAATTTTTAATATAAATAAAACGCGAAGTGAGGTAATTTCGTGAAGAAAATAAAAAACGTGGCACATAGCTTTTTGCACTATGTGGGAATAAAGGAGATTTTAGTCGGATAAATTGTATAATATATTTAATATATTTCGAAGGGATGGGCGAGGGACAAATTTCAGGGGGTCACCGTCGGGCCGTTACGGGCTGATCGGGCTCGCAGTTTTATGTGACACGATCATCCCCTAATTTCCCTGAATGTGACTTCCGGTGCCCATCCCAATTATTTATCAAGCGTAAATATTTAAAAAGTGCCAAGGGACAAATACAGCTCGCGAAGTCATCGGACAAAAAACCCGTGTTGACAGCTCAAATTGCACTTGCAACAACAACAACAACAACAACAACAACAACAACAGTAACAACTACAAAAAACAACAGCAGCAGCTCGCAACAATTTACGCTACCAGACACTTGACACGCTCCTTTTTCCAAAAAAAAAAAAACAAAAAAAAATTTAACGAAAATCAACGTGTTTTCAAAACCGACTAAAGAACATCGGAAACAACAATTTTTCAAATCCATTCTTTTTTCTCATTCGACCGAATCGCGCGATACTTTTTCGACACGACCGGAAATAAAGAAATAACGAAAATTAAACAAAAAGTGAAGAGAGAAAATAAATCGATCACCATCCCTATGGACTAATTCGTATCGATGAAAATGTATTTTAAAAATTCAGTCCGAAAGAACCAAGTAAGACAGAGAGAGAACCGACGCACTTCGGCGTCGTCTTGCCTTCCTTATCAGAAGGATCGCTCGTTCGTTCCTTTTCTTCCTTTTCTGTTATCTTTATTATCAAAGTAGCTCACTTTTGTTAACAGTCCTCGAAACACCTTTTTTTTTTATTTATTTAAGTATTAAAAAAAAAGTCAGATAAAAAAGATTATCACCGACTCCCCGAAGACCACGTGGAGTCTGACGGATGATCAATATCGATGACGATCTACAGATCCATCCTGTAAAAAGTATAACGTCAAATTTCGTCCTTTACGTTCTCTTTGTTCTTATCCTTAATCTTTTTTTTTCTCGTTTTTATAAACTCGGAGAGATTCCCTTCGACCATGTCATTCTTAGTTCTTAAACTCATTACGAAACAGCCCGAAAGCCCAGTAGGCAAAGATTAAGGAAAAAGAAAAATAATGATTTTTGCCAAAAGCTCCAGACGAGGCCAGTGTAAGAGATAACGTAAACGCGATTAAACAATAATGACAATTAATGGCGGATCCACTTGTAACTTCCGGCCGCACGTATAAAATCCAACGGTATATGGGGAAAAAAAAAAACATTTTTTCTTCGGCCGACTCACCCGACACTTACGGGACTTGCACGATTATCAATGAGGATACGAGTAAAACGCTATATTGATGCTATTAACGTTAATCGATGCTATCGACGCTATTCGATGCCATTGATGCCATTGATGCTATTGAACGAACAAACAAAAAAATTGAGCAACACAAGGAGACGGTGTTACAGAAGGATGAGAAGTAGAGAGAAAACAAAAATTAAGGTCGATCCACAGAAACACAGGCACAAACACTCGAGAGGAATATGTACAAATCAAAAGAGAGAAAGAAAAAAAAAAAGAGAAAAAACAAATGAAGAGCATAGAAATTATTAATATAATAACGTAAAAGATTTTAATGTTATAAATTATACGGGGAGAAAAAAAGTTTGAGGGACAAGGAGGATAGGGAGAGGAGACGTGTGAAGCAAAGTAAAAAAAAAAAAAAAAACATATGGTGAGGACGCCAAGACAAATGTACAAAGTCTAATCGCTAAATCTAAAAAGTTAGACAACTTAGATTATATAACGGATATATTTGTGACGGAGGGATTTAACGAGTTGGTACCTAACGCAATCTTCATTTTTGGGATAGGACTGTAAGTTGAAAAATTTTTTACAATGCCGATTTTTTCATATCGATCACTCGAAATCAATTATCGTCGAAATATCAATATCGATACGATTCGCCGTCGTCATCGATCGTCACGGTACCGGATCGATCGATCGCGATCGAATTGGATCGCGTGTGGGAAGGGAAAAAGATGTTCGTAATTGCGGACGAGAGTTAAGCAACAAAGGTAAATTGATCTGATCGAGAGACTCGTGATAACGAATTGATGGGCGAGCAGGAGGAGCGATGAAAACAATATAGGATCAACCGTGACGCGTAACGACTACGCCATTTTGTAAAATCGACCTTTACGATAATCGATTACAATTTCCCGTTTCTTGGTTAAATCGAGCGACGTCAGCATTACCGACACCGTCACTTACTTCTACTGCTAAACTGCAACTGCTACCACTATTACTATTGCTAACGTTATTACTACCATCACTGCTAAATACTATTTACTTATTACTAACTGCTACTAATAACTACTTGTCGCTGATACTATCGCCGTCATTAATACCGATACTGCTGGAGAACATCGAAATGACAATTGAATTGAAAAAACAGTCGAGTCACGGTAACGTATAACGATCATATAGAAAATGAAATTTCGGAATTTCAAAAAAAAGAAAAAAAATTTCTCAGAAAGAACGTAGGACGCAAGAGATAAGAGATACTCCGACACTACCGATTACACAAAACCGAACATGAGTAATTATAATAATTATCGAATTAATCGATTAATAAATATAGCACACACACACACTTCCTGTCTCTCTTTCTCTCACTCTCTTATCGGTCAATCACACAATTACCTATATTAAATAAATTCGAAATTCACATATAAAAAAAATTAACTCCCCAAAATTCCAGTCATTCGAGTCGATAAAAATCAATGATTAAAACAAAAAAAAAATTTTGTGTTTTTAGTCAAAAAAAAATTTTCAAAAAATTCACATAATTTTGTAAATCCTACCTATACGTGTATCTACAAAGAAAACGCGACAGAGAGAGAGAGAGAGAGAAACAGAGTCACACATATAATCCAACGAGAGAAGCACGATTCGACCAATCCCCGTGCTCGATCAGGCCGGAAGTAATAGATACCGGCAAACCGGGGCAGATATACATAAATACAAATAATAAGAGTTGCGCGTTTAATTGCGCGTTAATCGAGGGCCTTATTTATTAACAGTTGGGCATTGTTGTTATGTGAAACGGTGAAAGTGATATCGCTACACAGATCACAGATAATACATTATATGAAATATCAGATACGTGGGGTGAGAACGGGTCGGTAGGGTAGACGAGGTGGAAGGGGCTGGGGACTTTATAGGAATCTAACAGATAGACCAATGATAACGATGATGATGCTGCTGATCATTATCATTATTATTATAACAATGATACGAATGCTTATTATTAAACTATGATCTACAAGATTAAAGATAGGCGAAATAGGACTATGAGACGTGTTGGTGGATATGGAGTTCTTAATATATTATCTATTATCTTATTGTTGCCAACAATGGGCATTATGAGAAAACTGTGCGGTTATGTAACTTATTGTACACTACTCTCCCCCTTAACCTTCTGCCACGATAAAT